GTGGGTCGCGGGTCGCGGGTGGGCCGCGGGTGGGACGACGACATTAAACAACAACAACAACATTTAACACACAACAAGGAACAAGCATTTTCCACAAACCAATTCAGAACAAACAGCGCAAAACAACAGCAGCAACAACAACAACATCACTACCACCACCAGCACCAACAACAACACCAGCAGCAACAACAACAGCAGCAACAACAACAACAGCAATCCACACCGCGGTGTCCAATTTGTGCCACGAACCCAGGGACAGTGTAGTTCGTTCGCATCTTGACACACACATGTACACATACATATTTACACATGTGTGTATATGTATGTATGTATGTATGTATGTATGTATGTATGTATGTATGTATGTATGTATGTATGTAATTAATGTAATGTAATGTAATGTAATGTAATGTAATGTAATGTAATGTAATGTAATGTAATGTAATGTAATGTAATGTATGTATGTATGTATGTTATGTTATGTTATGTTATGTTATGTATGTATGTATGTATGCATGCATGCATGTATGTATGTATGTATGTATGTATGTATGTATGTATGTGTATATATACATCAGAGTGAGGGGGCCGAACCGAACGGTCATTCACTGTCCTTTGGTGCGTGGATGAAGTGGAATTCCGCGATGCTTGTTGTTGTTGTTGTTGTTGTTGTTGTTGGTGTTGTGGTTGTTATGGTTGTTGCTGTTGTTGTTGTTGTTGAACATTATTTATTCTAAAGAATAATTATTGTTGGGCCCCCTGGTGCGCGCCCCCCCCGCCGCGCCTAGGCCGCAGCCACGTTTTCATCATTTTCGTGAGGAAGCCTCAGGTAATACGATGTCATCAAGATCCGGTTGTTTTGTTGTAATCCGTTTTCCCTTGCAAAAAAACACTATAAAATGACTTTTCTTGTTCTAATATAATCAAATTTCAAGAATCCCTTGCAAAAAATAAGGTAAAGTGGACATTCGCGCGCGCAAGACGAATCCTTCCAAAAGTTTTCGTAGCGATTTTAACATAAAAAACATCAAAAAACCAATGGTTTTTCAAACAAAAAATGTCGAAATTTCATCCCGCGCGCTCTTGCGGATTCGTAGGAAACCCAACACTTTTAAAACATTTCTGTCAAACGGGCTATTGCGAGCAACTTTTTCGAACTTCTGCGACAACGGTTGCGCACCTGCCAGGGCCATCATCCCTGTCAAATAATACCATGCGGGACACATTCGTTTTTTCTTCGCGCGCGCACGCCGAAATCTCCAAAAACCATTGGGCTTCTTAAGAATTTTAGCACCGCGCATCATAAAATCACTTCTGTGGAAGGCTTAACAACTTCTGTGGGTTAACAAGGCTTAACAACTTCTGTGGGTGTACGAACGTAGGCTTAACAACTTCTGTGGGTGTGTACTCCACGCCAGTGTAGTAGCCACGGTCGTCCGCAGGCCACGAAGTGAAGTGTCCGAACGTCATAGGGCGGGAAGCTGGGTGTGGGTGGTGGCGAAGAGTCGTGTGGATATTTGGTAGAGCTTGCACTGCCCCCCCACAAAGTGGGGGTATTGGCTGGCGTCGCATGAAAACCCTGGCACTGGTGAGAACACTGAGCGTTCGGGTAAAGTGATTGTTGTTGTTGTTGTTGTTGTTGTTGTTGTTGTTGAATGCTCATTTCTGAATAATAATTGTTGTTGATCCCCCCACCGGTGCATACTGTTTTTTCTCAATCAAAGTGTGGCCCTCGACGCTCGCACCCTGTTTTTGGACGGGGCAAGTCTTGATGCTCAAAGTGGGCCCCTGGCCCCCGGGTTACAACAACAACATCGGCTCCCGCCTGAGACTTTTTTACAGTTTAGCCAGGACCCCCGCTCCCGCCCGAGACTTCCTCGCATTTTATTCAGGAATCGTGCTCTCGCCTGGGGCTTCCTTACAATTTTTCAGGAATCGCTCTCCCGGCGCTCTGGAGTCGCGCTCTCGCTGGAGACTTGCTTGCAACTTATTGAAGGATGACCTTGCGTTGGGATTTCCTGCAATTTGCCCAAGCGCCGCGCTCCCGACACCCAGGCACCCAGGAGTCGCGCCCGTTGTGGCCCCATGTGCATGCCCTGCGTGGCCCCGCTGTCGCCATTTGTGTCCCCCTCACTGTCCTACGTGGCCCAGTTGCTACCCTCAGTGGCCCCATAGTTGCCTTCTGTGGCCCCGCATTATCTGCATTTCGTGGCCCCCGCTCGTTCGCGCTCTTCGTGGCCCCATACGCATTCCCTTCGTGTCCCGCTGTCGCCCTTCGTGGCCTACTTCGTGTCCTTCGTGGCTCTGCTGTCGTTCTCTCTCGCTCTCGCTTTCGCTCGTCGTCGTCGTTGCCGTCGCCGTCGTCTTCGACGTCGTCGTCGTCGTCGTCGTCGTGGTCGGTCCCCTGTCCGTCCCTCGTGGGGTCGGGTCGACGGTCCGCGGCCGCCCCCCCGATCAGCGCTGCCGCTGGCCAGGCCGACGGTCCGCGGCCGCCCCGCCGCTTGCCGGGGCCCGGCCTGCAGGGAAGAAAGGTATACCCCCCAAAAAGGGGTTCGATCGAAGACGAAGAGGGCGGGTATCGTGGGTTTGGGAAAGACGATACCGAGATTTGGACACGTTATTTCGAGCATATAAGGGCGAATCTGTCCTGAAATTATCGTTGTGCGGTTGTTGTTGTTGCTGTTGCCGTTGTTGTTGTTTTGTTGGTTGTTGGTTTGTGTTTGGTTGATTGGTTGTTTGTTTGTTTGTTGTTTGTTGTCGTCCGTCCCACCGCGACCCGCCCCGCGACCGCACACCGCGACCCACGCCCGCGACCCACCCGCGAACACCACCCGCCCCCCACCTCGACCCCCCCCGACCCACCCCGCGACCCACCCCGACCCACCCGCGACCCCACCCGCGACCCACCCGCGACCCACCCCGCGACCCGCCCGTGACCCACCCCGAGACCTCCCCGGCGACCCACCCGCGACCCACCGGCGACCCAAGCGCGACCTATCCGCGACCCACCCCGCGACCCACTTGCGACCCACCCGCGGCCCACCCGCAACCCACTGCGATCCACACGCGACCCGCCCGCGACCCACCCCGCGACCTACCAAAAATTTTCGGCGCTTGCGGCGGGTTTCTACTGCATTCGTTCCAGGTGGAGAATCGTTCCAGGTGGAGAACCTGCGACCCACCCGCGACCCAAGCCGCGCCCGCGACCCACCCGCGACCCACCGCGACCCATCAGCGACCCATCCGCGACCCACCCCGCGACCCACCCAAAATTTTCGTCGCCTGCGGCGGGCGGGCTTCTTCTGCACTTGTTCCAGGTGGAGAATCTGCGACCCACCCGCGACCCAAACCGCGTTCAGTGTAGAAATCAAAATTTTCGGTGCCTGCGGCGGGCTGATGCTGAATATGTTCCAGGTGGAGGTGGAGAGGCCGCGACCCGAACAAAGTTCATTGAAAAAACCAAAACTTCGGCGCCTGCGGCAGGTTTCTTTTGTATTCGTTCCAGGTGGTTCCAGGTGGAGAACCTGCGACCCACCTGCGAACCAAACCGCGTTCTTACATATCATTTTTTTCGGCGCCTGCGGCGGGCTGTTTTTGAGTTCCTTCCAGGTGGAGGTGAAGAGCCTGCGACCCACCCGCGACCCAAGCTACGTTCATTGAACAAGACAAAGCGGACGAGGAAGAGGAGGAGGAGGAGCAGGAGGAGGAGCAGGAGGAGGAGGAGGAGGAGCAGGAGGAGGAGGAGGAGGAGGAGGAGGAGGAGGAGGAGGAGGAGGAGGAGGAGGAGGGCGCCATCGACAGGGAAGGTGGAGGCCACGAGGTCCGCCGGCTCGACGCCCGCGTCGCCCGCGCCCGCCCCTTCACTCTTATCCGCAATTGCGGGGTGCTACGTATATTCGACTTAACCTGAAACCTGGTAGGAGCGTATGACAGTGCCCCGAGTTCATGAACGCCATGCATCGTGCACGTGTCCGCGCCAATCGCCGTCGTCACAAATCACCCGCGCGTTGCTGCCCAGTGGCCCCCCTGCGGTCTCTCGCCCTCGCTTTTCAGTTGGCTTGGTCATCTTTCGTCCTGACCGCCGCTCCGTCGCGCAACTTCGCCGCAGCAGAGTAGGCTGGCGACAATGATGTCAGTCTTGCGTTCACGTTTTACGTTGTTGCTTTGTGTGTGCGGCCCTGCTTCTCGGGACCGGCCCTGAGATGTCGTCCGACGCTTTTTGTTCCCGGCTCGGACATTCTTGAGTTGGCCCCCGTTTTGTCGATGGAGTGCACGCGCAGCGCCGGTGCGTTCGAAACGCCATGGCTGGATTTGTCATATCAATTTCAAGGGGCGGCGTAGCATGAACTCCCCCATCGACGCCTGGGAGCGCGAACGCTTTCGACCGGCCCCCGTTCCCTTGGCCCCCTCTTTTCCCCGTCTTCTTTCTCTGCTTCGTTATTCCGCCTCCACTTTTCATTCGCCCTTTCCCTCGTTTCCCTTGTCCTTATTTTGCGCGTCTCCCCCGCCCCCCCTTCTTTCTCCCCCTCCCGCATCCAGCCGCCCCGTTGCTTCTCATCCCTTCCTGCTTTCCCCTACGTCCCTGCGTCCTCCCCGCTCCCTTCTCCATTTTTGTTTTTCTCCAATTCCTGTCGAGCGCCTTTTTTGCCTTGATGCGTAGCTGCCCCTGAGGAGCGTTTGCCCCTGCCGCCCCGTGCCTTGTTGATATGCCGACTTCTCCCCTCCCCGTCTTCCCCCCCCCTCCCCCCGTCAAAGTATCGGTGGCCTCCCCCTCCGATGAGCATTTTCAGTCGAATGGTTTCGGCCTGGAGGGCTGGTGGTTTTCATTCTATGTGGTCGCCGTCGCGTTCTCGGATGCTTCGAACTTCTGTGCTGCGTCCTGCGCCCCTTCCTGTCCCTTTTGCTTTTTGCGCTCCCCGCTCCCCCGTCTGCCCCCCGTTTCTTCCCAGCCCGTCCGCTCCGCGCCGGTCCCTGGAGCGGTCTCGCCCCCCCCGCAGGAGGCTCAGCGCCGCACTGGACAACGGCGTGGTGCCACGCCTGAGCGGAGCATCGCTAGAGCACGGGCATGGGGCGAGGAGGAGGAGGAGGAGGAGGAAGAACAATAGTAATAGTAATAATGATAATAGTAACAATAAGAATAAGACGAATCATACTATTAATAATAATATGAATCGCAATGCGAATAATAATACGACCTCTAACAAGCATAATGAGCCATAAGAATTCTGATGCTACTCAGAATCGGAGGTGAGGGGTTGAGATCGAAGTGGAACGGAGAGCCCCCCCTACCGGGAAATCGGTTTCGGTTTCGTGTTCGTGCGTGCCGTGCGTGCGGGCGAGGCGAAGCTGCGTGGGCGGGCGAGGAGAAAGTCTCCTCCGGCTGAGGCGCGGCCGGACCAAATGATTCCTCTCCGGGGGCCGATGCCGCGCGGTACCCCGCCCGTGTCCCGCCTCCGGCTGAGGCGCGGCCTGACCAAATGTTTCCTTTCCGGGGGCCGGTGCCGCGCGGTGTCCCGGCGGTGTCTCCCCAGTGTCCCGTCGGTGTCCCGATGATGATGATGATGATGATGATGATGATGATGATGATGATGATGATGATGATGATGATGATGATGGATGATGATGATTATGATGATGATGATAATGATGATGATGATGATGATGATGGTGGTGGTGGTGGTGTGTTGGTGGTGGTGGTGGTGGTGTTGGTGGTGGTGGTGGTGATGATGATGATGATGATGATGATGATGATGATGATGATGATGATGATGATGATGCTGTTGATGATGATGATGATGATGATGATGGTGATGGTGGTGATAATGATGGTGTCCCGATGGTGATGATGATGATGATGATGATGATGATGATGATGATGATGATGATGATGTTGACGATGAAGATGGTGATGATGATGGCCATGTTGGTGATGATGATGGTGTCCCGATAATGATGATATTGCGAGGCCTGACGGCCGGTGCCGCCGACCCTGTTCGCAATGCGCAGCAAGAGATTACGAGGTTGCTCAAGGTCGGCTTGGCTGGAGCCCAGGGGAAGAGGAGTCCCAGGGGGGGGCGTCGTATCTGACCCGGGGGGGGGGTCGCTACCCCCCCCCCCTCCCGGCGGGGGAGGGATCAAAGGGAAGGGGCTTCCCTTCGACTCAATTACGAGGTTGCTCAAGGTCGGCTTGGCTGGAGCCCAGGGGAAGAGGAGTCCCAGGGGGGGGCGTCGTATCTGACCCGGGGGGGGGGTCGACACCCCCCCCCCCCCTCCCGGCGGGGGAGGGATCAAAGGGAAGGGGCTTCCCTTCGACTCAATTACGAGGTTGCTCAAGGTCGGCTTGGCTGGAGCCCAGGGGAAGAGGAGTCCCAGGGGGGGGCGTCGTATCTGACCCGGGGGGGGGGTCGCTACCCCCCCCCCCCTCCCGGCGGGGGAGGGATCAAAGGGAAGGGGCTTCCCTTCGACTCAACTACGAGGTTGCTCAAGGTCGGCTTGGCTGGAGCCCAGGGGAAGAGGAGTCCCAGGGGGGGGCGTCGTATCTGACCCGGGGGGGGGGTCGCACCCCCCCCCCCTCCCGGCGGGGGAGGGATCAAAGGGAAGGGGCTTCCCTTCGACTCAATTACGAGGTTGCTCAAGGTCGGCTTGGCTGGAGCCCAGGGGAAGAGGAGTCCCAGGGGGGGGCGTCGTATCTGACCCGGGGGGGGGGTCGACACCCCCCCCCCCCTCCCGGCGGGGGAGGGATCAAAGGGAAGGGGCCCCCTTCGACTCAATTACGAGGTTGCTCAAGGTCGGCTTGGCTGGAGCCCAGGGGTTGCTCAAGGTCGGCTTGGCTGGAGCCCAGGGGAAGGGGTCCCAGGGGGGGCGTCGTATCTGACCCGGGGGGGGGGTCGACACCCCCCCCCCCTCCCGGCGGGGGAGGGATCAAAGGGAAGGGGCTTCCCTTCGACTCAATTACGAGGTTGCTCAAGGTCGGCTTGGCTGGAGCCCAGGGGAAGAGGAGTCCCAGGGGGGGGCGTCGTATCTGACCCGGGGGGGGGGTCGACCCCCCCCCCCCTCCCGGCGGGGGAGGGATCAAAGGGAAGGGGCTTCCCTTCGACTCAATTACGAGGTTGCTCAAGGTCGGCTTGGCTGGAGCCCAGGGGAAGAGGAGTCCCAGGGGGGGGCGTCGTATCTGACCCGGGGGGGGGGTCGCACCCCCCCCCCCCTCCCGGCGGGGGAGGGATCAAAGGGAAGGGGCTTCCCTTCGACTCAATTACGAGGTTGCTCAAGGTCGGCTTGGCTGGAGCCCAGGGGAAGAGGAGTCCCAGGGGGGGGCGTCGTATCTGACCCGGGGGGGGGTCGCACCCCCCCCCCCCTCCCGGCGGGGGAGGGATCAAAGGGAAGGGGCTTCCCTTCGACTCAATTACGAGGTTGCTCAAGGTCGGCTTGGCTGGAGCCCAGGGGAAGAGGTCTCCCAGGGAAAGGGAAGGACAGAGACGACGAGTACAAAGAATGACGGAGATGACGGCTCGAACGGAAAAGCCCCTCACACACGCCGACAGGGTCGGCGGATTTGTGATGGTGATGTTGTTGATGATGATGGTGTCCCGATGTTGGTGATGTTGATGATGTTGATGATGATGAGATGATGAGATGATGATGCTGATGATGATGATGATGATGGTGATGATGGTGATGATGAGGTTGATGATGATGCTGTTGATGATGGTGATGATGGTGATGACGATGATGACGATGATGGTGTCCCGATGATGCTGATGATGATGTCGATGATGTTGATGATGATGACGATGATGGTGTCCCGATGATGATGATGATGTTGATGGGGATGCTGGTGAGGTGATGGTGATGATTCTGATGATGGTGGCCCGATGATGATGCTGATGATGATGATGGTGACCGGATGGTGATGATGATGATGATGATGATGATGGTGATGATGATGCTGCTGATGATGATGATGATGATGATGATGGTGACGAGGACGATGGTGTCCCGATGATGATGATGTTGATGATGATGGCCATGTTGCTGCTAATGATGACATGGTCCCGATGATGATGATGTTCACGATGTTGTTCATGCTGTTGACGATGAGATGAAGATGGTGATGATGATGACGATGATGATGATGATGATGATGATGATGATGATGATGATGGGTGTGTTCCGATGCTGATGATGATGATGCCCTTATGATGATGGTGACGATGGTTATGTCCCGATGATGATGGTGATGATGATGATGTTGATGATGATGGTGATGAGGTGATGATGATGATGATGATGATGATGATGATGATGATGATGATGGTGTCCCGATTATGGTGGTGATGCTGATGATGTTGATGACGTTGATGACGATCATGTTAATGATGATGATGATGATGATGATGATGATGATGATGATGATGATGATGATGATGATGATGCTGATGCTGATGCTGATGCTGATGCTGATGATGCTGATGCTGATGCTGATGATGATGATGATGATGATGATGATGATGATGATGATGATGATGATGATGATGATGATGATGATGATGACGGCGTTGATTGTGAGATCGATTGTGATATCGATAGTGGGATCGATAGTGAGACCGAATGTGTGATGGATTGTGCGATCGATAGGGAGATCGATAGTGAAGTCGATTGTTAGATCGATAGTCAGACCGATTGTCAGATCGATCGAATGAAATATATCGAGTGAGATCGATTGTGAGATCGATCGAGATCGATCGAGCGAGACCGATCGTGAGATCGATAGTGAGATCCATAGTGAGACCGATCGAGAGAGACGTTGGTCCCCCCCCCCGAACCTCCGTATCACCCGAAGGGTGGTCGTATAGGTAAGAATATTTCTCGGGACGTTGACGAGGAGGAGTATGAGGACGATAACGAGGAGCAGAGGGAGAACGCGGGGAGCAGGACGAGGGCCGAAACGTCGGGAAGGCCGCACGCACAGCGAAGAGGTGGACGGTGGAGCACGAGAGAGGTGCTCAGGCGCATCGCCTCCCCGTTCCCCTTTCCCCCCGTCTTTTCTCCCTCTCCCCTTTCTTCCCTCCCAAGTCTCCCGCACCTTTCTCCCCTTCCACTCCTCCCTCGTCGAGCCCCCTCCTTCCCTCCCCTCCTCCGTCCTCGCGGCCGCGGGTCTGATCCAGCGCCCAGGCACATTGATCGGGAGCCCGCCCTACCTCCTCCAGCCTCCCTCCCTCCCTCCCGCCTCCTCGCTGTTCTCTGCTGTCGAGTGGCCTTGGGCCCATCCCGCCTCTGTGCCTGGGGCCTCTTGGATGCAGTTTTGAGGCCTCTTGGGGGCCGTCTTGGGGCCGTTGTCATTGTGGCGCCTCTTCTGGGCCTCTTGGGGGCCTCTTGGGCCTCTTTTGGGGGCCTCTTGGGGGCCTCCTGGGGCCTCTTGGGCGCCTCTTGGGCCGTCTTCGAGCGTCGGAAAGCCAACGGCGAGAACGCCCAGGCCCTTCAAACGCCTGAGGAAAATCAGTGATTTGCGCCTCTGGGGGCCCCCTTGGGAGGCCTCTTGGAGGCCTCGTGTGGCGTCTTGGAGGCCTCTCGGGCCATCTTGAGGCCATCTTGGGTGTCCTGGAGCGATCGTTTGGCGAGTCGAGGCCCTCTTGGACTCATGGGGGGGGGGGGGTCGGGAGGTCGTTTTTGGGGCGGCCAAGCGTCCACAGGAGGCGCAGGCAACACCTCGGAGCTCACGGGAGCCCGCGCAGACATTTTGGTGACGGCTTGGGACACGATTGGTCTGGGCCCCTTAGCACAGTTCTCGCTGTAGAAGCAGCGCAGTGTCTACCTGTCACTTTCGTCCTCTCTGCCGACGGTGCTGCGAATCTCAACATACGTCCCTTTCCCTTCCCCATTGTAAGACATTATCTTCCCCTCTCTAGTGTTTCTTATCGTATCAGTCCCTGGATATATGTTTATGTACGGGCCACTGACAAGTATACACACGAATTTATATATGAGGTATATGCAGGCATGCATGCATGCATGCATGCATGCATGTATGT